GTTGTGATCTGAGGACTCAGTTGTAAGACAAAGAATAACACTGTCAGTACCCTGAGGGCACTAACAAGTCTTGATCATCCTGAGCAGCATCACTTGGGACCTCCACCCACCTCTTTTGCCCATAGGTCCGGGAGCATCAGCTGAACACCAGCCTGAGGAGTCAATTCCTTCTGCACCTTTGCCTGACACCTGCTGGTAGGGCCTCCTGCAATTGCCCATCCCTGGTTCTGTGCAGCTCTACCCTCATGGGGCATCACCTGGCTCAACTTCCCTTTGGAAGCAGCTCTGCTCTTGCTGTTCCCTGATACACTGCCCTGTCTGAGAGACAGTAGTGCATGTCTAATTTCAGAGGTCTGTTGGTTTGGAAGGAAATCATGTGGTGTGAATCTGGAAGTCAGTCTCAATGGATCACTGTCCCGTGTGGACCCCCAGCCACCTTGTAGGTGTTATTATGTTCAACCATCCTGTCTATGCAATGAGCAATTTAGACTTATGTCTGTGTGGTTTTCCTGGAGGAAAAGAAATTGTCAGTGCTGGACTTGGCTGCCTGGCCAATTTAATTCCATAAGATCTCGGTGTGGGTGAGATTTAGAAGTGCAATTCCTCTGTGCCAGTGCCCACTTTGTATTAGTGACATGGGTGAACTCAGTGGGTGCTGGAATGTTCCCTATTTCTTGTAACTCAGCTACATGTCAGGCTCACTCCTATAGAAATATTCAGAGGTATTTAAAACAGTTATTGCCCTTGCACCTGCTGAACTAATTATTGACAGTGACCCTTTACCACTTCACCACCATTTATAGACCTTCCCTCCCAAGTGCTGGAAGGCTGTGCTGTTATTGAGGCTGGTGTGGCTCTAAATTGCATTTGGTCTTCTCCAGTGAGCATGGGGTAAGGGAGAGGCAGCTGACCCCAGCCCAAGCACAGAACTGTGCCTCATTGAAATGCTGAGAATGTGCTAATCACATCAACTGCTCTGCCTTGCCTGCTTGCATCAAAGGCTTGTCTTCTTTATCCTGACTTCTTAATAAAGATCATGGATTTTATCCATATATTTATTTTACTAAGGGAGCTTCATATTAGATTTAAAGTCCATTAGTACCACTGCTTATAGAGTGCCCTTGAAAGTATGTTTAATTGCAGACTAATCCAAGTGTGATCTGGAAAGCTCTCAAGCATTAATGGGTTGGGGAACACAAAGGTGGCTTCACTGGCTTTTTTTTAGTCCTTCAGTGGCATCTGAAATATCTCTTAGGAAAAGTGTAATTGTAAAAAGCCTAAAGGGTTGAAAAGATGTATTGGTAAGCAATGGGAAGCCTGAATTCTGGGATTTAATCTTCTCATATGATCAATATGATAGTGACAGAAATGTCTAAAACTCCCAGTGAGAAATTCATCTTCCCTGCACAAAGGACAGGACACTGAGCTTTAGGCAGAGAACTGAAACACGTGGGGCTGAATTCACCTGCTCTGCTCATGAGTGTGGCTTAACAAAGGACTCTCCCCAAATCATGGGCATGGAAATAGGCATTGCTGTCCTTGGCACACCTGCAGGAACTCCCAGGACCGCTGTGACCAGGTGTGTTTTACTGACCCAGCTATAGTTTGGGGTGGTTTAAGGCACAGTCTCAAGTACACCATGCACTTATGATGGATCACTTGGCACTAGAGTGTCTCTCAAAAGACCTAAACCCCTAAGCCCTCTTCTGCACCCTACCTTAGCTCCCTAAATGTCATCCCCATTTTATGTAGAGGCTTCTGTAGGAGCAGAGCATGAGCTCAGTTTATCAGCTGCTCTATCCAGAGAACCTGAGATAAAGACAATCTTTTGGTCTTAACTATAGTTCCCTATGTCTCCACTTGCATTCCTGATGGTTTCATAAAAATGAATGAAGAAGCCAGTGATAGAGATGATCTGGATTCTTGAGTGATGGAACAGAAAGTGGCCAGAGTTGTCTGACACAACAAGGGTTGTTTTTTTTCTCCAATTTGAAATCTTGCATTGTGTATACGTTGTAGATGATGAATAGCCTGGTTAATGTGAGATTCCTTCAATTGGTTGTAGATGTGAATTGATTTAAATTTGAGATTTTTTTTGTTGTTGATTTTTGTATTCAGTTCTTTGGACAGAGTCTTGAGACATCCATTTTCATAGAGGAAAAAATATACTTTCTCACAGGAGTAACTCTCAACTACTGCTGGACACAACTCTGGGAACACAGAAAACAAGTGCTCAGAGTCTGATATTCTCAGATCCTTTGTTAGCAACCTTTCAGTGTTAACACTGCTTTAAGAGAGGAGGATGAAGTTCATTTCTTGTTTTCCAGAATGCTCTTCTTCTAAGCTTGAAAATTAAATTTCAGTCCCCTCTGATATTTCCTTCTTCCTTTCTATTTGCTGAGAACTTAGTTTTGCTATTGTAAATTGAATATGAAATTAGATTTAGCTGAAATAGCTGTGCAGGGTTTAAATAAAATGGAAATATTTTGTACCATCAGGACTGTCTCTCATAAAGACAGAATTAAAAGAGGTTAAATATAACTTGCTTAAACCACTCCACGAAGGTTTCATAAATGCTTGAAAACATGTAGGAGCTCTGAAATTTTTGAAAAGGTGCACCAATAGATCCTGGAAAACTATTTTTCTAATAACTATACAGGAAATATATTTAGTAGTGGATCCCTTGGACTGGCAGCTGAATGTCTTCATTAACAGGTAATGGCTGTGAGGTTTTTTTGCAAAAAGTCAGCAACTTCTTTGCCAGTTTTGTACCTGATTATTTTTGTTCTTTCTGAAGTCACCTTGCCCCACAATTACTCTATTTAGAAAATGACATTAAAAACACAGTAAGAAATAAGCAGCTATTATGCTTCTAGAAAAGTTCAGGGCCATTTTGTTCACTTCTCCTCCCTGCCTGAAATAATAAGGCAATCAGCAAAGTTATTAGTTTTTGACATGTTGCATGCATTCCCTAACTGGTACCATTTATTCCTCTGATTGAACAAGAACCTCTTTCATTTTTCACATGAAGACTTTTCTTTTGGGTGAGTGCATATTCTTCAGTGGGGTACAGCAACAACTGGGCTAATTTAAAAATACTTAGCCTGACAACCAGCAGCCAAATATCATTGGCACCACAAAGCTGTATTTTGAAAGGGTCAATTTAGTCTGTGGGGAGTTTTAATATTATTGGCTCCCAGTTAAAACTGCCTGAGAATCTCTGTGTTACACTGCAGTCTGTGGACTGTACATAAACTGGTGGCAGATTGTCTTGCATGCTGTAGTCCATGAATCTGCCAATGGAAGCTGTACAATCTGAAACCCCATGAGCTAAGCAATCAATTAAATAGCCCTATCAGTTAAAAAACTTGATTAGCTCTTAAAATTTTTCTTGATAAATTTAGGACAATATTGTCCTTTCCTAAGACTGACTTTAAGGAGGCATTAAGAAGTAGTGGAGAAGACTGCACAGGAGAGGATAATGCTTCTGGTGTAAAAAACAATACAATAAGGAAATGTGTGAATTCTGATACCCCAAGGAATATCTCAGTGAGACTCCATCATAAGAAAGGCTCAGCAGGGTGATGTTTCCCTTTTTGACATGGAAATGATTAGCAAAATTCCATGACCACAGTTAATCTCTACCTCAGCTCTCTTAGGTGAATCAAGCCTCAGAGGAGGAGCCCATCAGAGCAAATGCTGCTTTAATTGAGGGTGTTAATACTGAACACATTTAGATGCCAGCCCCATGTAAGCACAGACTAAGGGCTATCTTGTGCACACTGCAAGGACCTTGCTGGTGGGTACTGAGGCAAGTAAAGATTCGCTGTGCTGGAAAAAGAGATGAAAACCAAACTCAGTGAATGTTTTCAATTTCAAATATTATCAAATACTGTTAATTTCAGCCAGAGGAAAACTTCCTAGTGATGTTAATGGACACTGAATTTTATTCTAATTTTGCTGCTCTGATGCAGGTTTAACTGATTTTATTTTTGCCTGACTCTAAAATACAGATCAGGAATACAGTGCTAGCAAATTTGGAGCATTGCAGTCCCCATTTATAGGGAGCTTCGTCTTGCAAACACTTTTGGAGAACAAACAAAAGAGTTATGAAATAACACGGTCCATTTTAAGAGGTAGATGGAAAATCATATGGAAGTAAAACTTGGAGCACTAGGGGCTCATTTCTCTGACAGACCAGCTTAACAGCACTAGGGGCAATATATTCCAAAAGTAGCTGAACCAGCACAGGTTGCACTTGCAGTCCTTTCCCTTTGCATATGCAAGAGCATAATTACATGCTTACAATGCATTTTGGATGTGCACAATTGAGCAGCCCTACACGTGTATCTGGAATGCCAGCCTTCATGTGGAAATGGCTTGCCTATTGCAGTCATTTTATGTTTAAAAGTAGTCACAAACACACACATGCACAAAAGAACGCCATCAATGCTCATTACAGAGTATTGTGTCCATTGGCACAGATGGAAAACCTGCACAACAATTCAGAGAATCAAAGGCTGCAAATTCAAAATGTGGATTTGATCACTGGAAGGGATTTGGAAAGGCAGAGTTTGCAAAGTACTATCAGGGTACAGTGTTTCCAGTGTGCATAGGAATCTCAGGTACATCTGCAGCCTGTCCAGCAAAAGGAAACTGGGATCTGTTTCAATCCTGCATACTGACTTCAAGCACCCTAATTACCTGCTCAACAGCAGGGCTTGTTGCTAATAACTCAGCTGGCACTCCTGTGTGTTGGATGAGTTTGTTCCTGGAATTTAATTTGCCTTAAGAAATAGGCTGTGAGAGATAGGTATTATATTTTTCTTTTATTGAAGAAAACTATCCAACAAATGCAAATAATTGTTGGTAATGTGTGAGGGTCAAATCCACCGATGGTATTTGAAAAAATCGGTTTTGATCCATTGAAATGTGTCCAGCAAATAGAACAAATAGTTACGACAATTTCTACCATATGGGAAGAAAACAAAACAAAATACCTTTGTGTTTTGAAGACATTCTGCTTGTCCTTCCTTTGATATGAGACTTCAGAAAGGATCTTGCTTTGGTGTCTGTGGATGACGTGCTGTAGCTTCTGCTTTGTGTTCTCACAAACTTCTGAAGCTGCAAAGAGGAAAGAGTGGGAGATGAGAAGATGTAAACAGAAAATGGAGCCAGCGATGTATTTTACAGCAGAAGGTGGGACTGCTACATTTTACCTCTGTATCTTTTGCAGGAGGAATTGGGTGTCTTGGTTATGACAGAGGACAGACACGGAAATGCCTTGATGCAGTGGAGATTTATAACCCTGATGGAGACTTTTGGAGGGATGGACCCCCTATGCCTTCTCCCCTCCTCTCCTTACGGACAAACTCCACCAGCGCAGGCTCTGTGGAAGGGAAGCTGTACCTCTGTGGAGGATTTCATGGAGCAGGTACTAAAATGAGCCCAACATCCTCTGTGTAGTTAAAATCAGTTTCACTGGACACAGACTGACCTGATCAGTGCCCTCTCAGGTGGCACTGGCATGCCCTGGAGCTACAAACCTGATTCTGCCCTTTGGACTGCCAGCCCCTAATGTCAATATGAACTGGGTTCTGTTTGGCTTTCGCTTTTTTCCTTAACAAAACACAAAAATTTAAGGATGTTTCTGATCTGCACTAAACCTGTCCAAATCTAAAACCTCAGCAGAGTTATTCAGGATTTATATTAAGAGTCACAGATATGAGTAGCATAGTGTTTTATGGACATTAGAGAACTTGGGCATATTTGTTGAAGATTAAGGCTCTGTCCATCAGTCCTTAGCCATGTTATCTCACTCTGTCTACTTACTAATGTGCTTTTTGTAATCAATGTTGAAAAAGCTTGTGTACTTAATGAGTACCCTGGGTAGGGAACTGAGATACAAAGAGACTGAAGTTCCAGATCTGGTGATTTTAAATAATCCTAGCCCCATGTGCACCTTTCTTCTTTTAAGACTTCTTCCTTCCAGCTTTGCTTAGCTTTATCTAGATATCCAATGCAATAACCTGGTGGTTTTTTTCATTATAAATGCAAAGGATTGCAAAACAAGCACACAAACTATTCTGCTACATACAGCTGCCACCCCAAATTCCTTTCTAGGAGAAAACAATAGCACAGATAGCAATAACAGTTGTCCACTGCTAATGTCATGTCAGCCTCATGTTGACCAGGAATGGCCACATGGTATCACAGGGAGATACGTCCTTCTCATTACACTTTTTTTTGTATAACAACCTCTAAACTTGAAGCTGCTGTTATTTTAGAATGCTGATTTTCATCACCTAGTTCACAACTTGCCTTCTGCTTTCATTTGGTACTGTTTGAGGAAACTGCTTCCTGAAAGCAATTGTTTGGCAGCTTCCTATCAGGCATGTTCTCATGTCATCTCTGATGGAAGTTCTGTGATGTCAGAGAAATAATGCTCATGACAAATCACTGTGTTTCCATAGCAAACCTTATGCCATTCTAGTTGTCTTTTTCTCAGCAACATTATGAAAGAGCCTAAAGTTAGTGGGTAAAAATTTCAAAAGGCTAATCATGGGAAGAGGTTGAGTCACCGTCCCTGGAGGGATATAAAAGCTGTGTAGATGAGGAACTCGGGTACATGGTTTAGTGGTGGGCTTGACAGTGCTGGGTTAATGGTTGGACTAGATGATCTTAAAGTATTTTCCACCCTTAACAATTTGATGACTCTGTGATCATTAGCACTGAAAAATGAAGCAATTTTGTTCCAGATGACTAACAGATTAATATGAGATTTTCTGACTAGACCAATAAAAACACTATCTGTACAATACCACCACATTCTGTCACTGAGTCATGTATAAAGAGAGGTTGTTCTGGGAGAGGTTGAAAGTCCTCCTGTGGATTTCAAGAAGGCCATCTTTTGTATATTTCTATAATGCCAGCTCAATGGAGTCCTGATTCCTCCCTCTAGTATTGCAATCTATATAATTATGTATAGAACTCCTCTGCACTAATACTGTTATTTAGATTGGAAAACAAGAAGTCACAGTTAGAAAATGCCAGTTTTGCAGTTAACTGTGCAACCTGAATTCTGACCACCTACATGTGCATTCTGAGGTATAGTTGTGCTGTTAGACATTGCTATGGTGTCTGTTAACAAGGCAGCCAAAATCAGAGTCTCACTGTCGAATCAAGTGTAACCACATAGTTAAGGACTTGAGGGGAACCTGTGCCTTAAATGGTTTCTTAATGTGACTTTGAAGTTACTATAGGAAAAGGGCTTTCTAAATGGTCACAACAATACCAGCTTCTAGCTACCAGCATCAGGACAAGGATGGGCAGGGGCCATAAGCTGAACATGCAGATGTCACTGGGCTGGCCTCTCTCCCTGGCCACATGTTCCCTGCATGCTGCAAAGGGCTCTTGCCTGATGCAGACTTTGGATTGAGAGAGGGTTATTACTGTCACATGGGACATTAGAGAGGGGACTTGACTTGCACTTTCACAATTATAGCTGCTCAGCAGCTTCAAGGTACAGAACAACATGTGCTGCTGCTCCTTTAGTAGAAGGCAGTATTATTTTAGAATGTATTTGTTTGGTTTTGGTCTTTGGGCTTCTTGGCATGTCACTTTGGTTTTTGGGAGGGATGTGACCAAAAGAGGATATTCCAATTTTACAAAACATTGTAATTTATTTTTTATCCAATTGGAGTTCTTGGAACAAGCTGGAAGCACAGCTGTAGTCTTTGGGTTTTCTGCCTGCTGAACGCCAAAGGGCTGCTGTGATCATTCAAGAATAAGCAAAGCAGAGAAAAAAAAGGGAAAATAAGCCAAAATCACTGCTGCAATGAAAGTCTTAGCCTATGGGGCTGAAAGGAACCCCTTGTATCGTATAGATCTGTCCCCATCTCTTCAGCCTTTGCTTGTCTTTGCACTTGCTTAAACCTACTCTTGATCCAGCAGAAAGCTGACCTAGTTAAGACTTTGTTTCATGTTAATTTTTTATTGGCATATGTCGTGCTCTATATGCCTTCCTGCATGCCTATAGACCTAAGTGGATCGTTAGAGCCCAGAGAAGCTGTAGCCAAAGCTGAAAAGCAGCTGTTGGAAGAAAGGATGAGCACTGCTCAGCTACCATCTTTTCTGAGTCCCATGTGACAATTGAAGTTTTGTGATGGCAAGATTCCCATTCCATATGTATAGCCTGTCAAAAGTCCTTGTCTGCCTGAAGGAAGGGCAAATGGTGCAGCCCTAACATCATCCCTGGGAGAAAAGGAAGAAAAACTGCAGCTTCTCAAGAGGGAAGTCAGCTTGGACAGCTGACAACAGCAATAGGAGTCCTCCTAAAAGATGAGTGAACTCCAAAGTATGTTCAGGCTTCCTCTGAACTGCAAAGAATATTTTTCAATGTTGAGATACATTAGTAAAGCTTGCAAGGCTTCCCCTGCTGAGGCTTGCTCTAGTTGGAAGCTTGTTCAAAGCTGGCCATGGAAGAGGAAAGGGGATTAATTCAGCTGAAGTTTAGACACTTGTCTGCAGTGCCTACACTGAGACCTTGGTAATCCCAGGCTTCCTGCAGCAGATGGAGAACCACAGACACTTCAGAGGGAGAGTCAGATCCTTGGTGCTTTATATCTGCTCTGAAGGAGCAGAAGGAAATTGAGAACCCTGAGGAGCTCTCCTGCCCTTAAAGCTTCATGTTTAAATCAGGATGTGAGGGACTCTGAGTTGACTTACCTAAGGCAAACACATCAGGAACTTGGTGTCTGTGGTTTGATGGTGCAAACACCTGAGACACCTCTGTATTGTTATCACTAGCTGATGAACGTTGGGTGTTTTTACAGCCAAAAGTACCCAAAAAAACCCACTTCTTGTTTTGAATGTTTCCTCATAGCAAGACTAGCAAAACTTCATCTGTTGGCCAGTTGTTTATACAAATTAGCTCATTTTCTACTAAAACTACTATAGTAAACAGGAGCCACTAACCTGCTTGTCTCAGCTCTAACTCAAGAAGCCTTGTGTCACAAATGTTGTGTTTTTCTAGCACTGTTGCAGCATTCATTGAGATAATCAGACATGTTTTAATTTTTTTTCCATTATAGTTCAGCACAGAGTGAAAACATTACCCCTAGTGTGAATGCTCAGTGAGGCTCAGTGTGCAAGAGCCAGCCAGATTCCTGCTAAAATACTGCCACATTTCCTGCTGTAACTGTGGATTTTACACCAGCCTTAGCAGCCTGACTGTACAATATTCTTGTTGACATGTTTTATTTTCTTTTCTTTGAACAAAAACCTGTCAACCTGCACAGACTGACAGCTACTGACATCAGCCTGTGCCCAGCAGAAGCAGCCTCATTAGTGTGGCTCCCTGATGGAGGGGGGAGCAGCTCTTCAGGTATGCAGGATTAACCCTTATAAAATGCCTGCCAGATCAGGTTCTCTTTCTTTTTGACTGCTTCTGAGCATTATAAATGTTTTTCCCGTGAAAGCAATGAAAGGAAGGGTGTGTGTCTGCTTGCTGGGACCATGTCATCTGCTGTCACTGTCACTTTAGCCTGAATCGGGTGGCTGGGGATTGTAGCTTTAGTTTCAGGCTATAGGTGTTGATCCAGCTGGCTGTTTCATAGCTTTGAAAGAAAGAAACCGAAATCCAGAGTTGATTTTTTTTTTTTTTTTAAACTCAAAGCATCCTGGCTATATCAGCAATAGTGTGGCCAGCAGGACCAGGGCAGGGATTGTCCCCCTGTACTGGGCACTGTTGAGGCCACAGCTCCAATCCTG